TAATCTATTTACATTAAAAATGTAATTATTACAAATTTTGTTATATTGATTATTTTTTAAAAATTAAAAATTAACTTTTAATTAAATAAGTGTATAATTAAAATAATTCACATAGTAGTAGTGATGAAATTAATGATAATTTTTATATTTTTAATATTAATTAATATAAAAAAGAGCAATAATTTGTAACTAATTTTCTGTCACAAAATATCTATTTTCTTTGTAGTATTGATTAGTTTTTAAAAATTAAAAATTAACTTTTAATTAAATAAGTGTATAATTAAAATAATTCACATAGTAGTAGTGATGAAATTAATGACAATTTTTATATTTTTAATATTAATTAATATAAAAAAGAGCAATAATTATATCCTTAATATTTATTTTAAGGATAAAAAATTTAAAAAAATTCAATAGTTAATTATGTTATTTATAAAAATAATAGTATATAAACTAATTTTAATTAATTAAATAATAAATATTTATTATTTTGTTATTTATTAATTAATAATTATAATAAAAAAAACTATTTTTAATTATTAAACTAAAAAAATTAATATTTTCAAAAAATAATATTAAAAATTTTATATCATTCTAACAATTTGTTGCATAACCATACCATTCACCAGGCGGCGAAAAACGGAGCTGCATGTGAGAAAAGTACTACTATAAAACATGGATTTTGACTCTGACCCCTGTTTTCATGCCCACAATCATGGAAGAACAACACTTCTTTCTAGCAATCTGCTTCGAAAACAATAATCTGCATACTCTCTAGCTGTTTCTTTCATGTCATGGCTTTCCCATCCCCGTAAGAGATGGTGCAATTAATGATAGACAGTTTGTTGGTCAAAATGGGAGAAAATAAAGCTTTTGGACGGAAGTGGTAACCTCATAGTTTATTCACTGTTTAAACTTTACCCAGTAACCTTATTAAGGGGGTCTTTTTTTTTTTAATATTTAAAAATTATATTAAATTTTAATTAATTCAAAATTGAGTTATGTTAGATTTTATAAAGATAAAAACTCCTTGTAACTCTTATTTTTCTATTTGTAAGGCCACTAACGTTCTCAAGGTTTTTTTTCTTAATATTAATTTTTGGTATTTAAAAATTATATTAAATCTTAATTAATTTAAAATTAAGCTACATTAGACTTTATAAAGAGAAAAACTCTTACGATACTTATTTTTTTATTTATAAGATTTGAACTTATGATATTATTTAAGTGGAATCAATCTCTTTTTATTTTGATTGATAAATCATTTTACTTTATCAATATGTTTAAATTAAGTTGAGAGAGAAAAAAAATTTTGAACAATTAAATTTTAATTCTTAAAAATTTTATAATTTAATTAATTAAAAGATTTTTCATTTTCCCCAACCAAAACATTCTAAGAAAAGTCTAAACTTTTACGAAAAAAAAGAGATAAGTGAGGGAAGGGATAATAATTTCCTCTTACTCAATAATGACCCTATGCGAAGGTCTTCCTTAATGGCTAGGTGTTGCCCTACAAACAAAGAGTAGTGGGTTTTTCCAATAGCTTCCGCCTTCTGCATGGGTAATGGATGTTCTTATCTTAGAACTGTTACAATAATTAAGCTTTCCTTGGCCCTTTCACACTATTCTAAAATGAAATTGGTCCACCTCTGTCTCTAAGAACTCTAGTTTATTTTGGTTCGGATAATTAAAGAGTTTTTAGTCCTAGTTTTCGTGCATGTTAAAATTAATTTTTCCGTCTCTAACGATCTTTTTAAAAACTCTAGTACTATATGATGGTATACCTTAATATGTTGGGGAACAACTACTTATTACCCTTTTTCTTTGAAAGACTATAATTTTTTAGATTTATACACATGTATAAATCTTATATCAATTAGAGTACTATATTAATTAACTATTGATTTTTAATTTTAATGATTTGTGTATATAAAATATTGTATAATTTGATTTATATTGAAATTGTATAA